ACCTCTGCGGTACTAAATTCTACTCACCTGGTATCGACAATCAAAGGCATTTCCCTGTCCCCAGACGACCTGCTTGTCAGTTTTGATGTGGTGTCCTTGTTCACCAAAGTCCCGATACCTGACACCATCGCTATCATTGAAGACCTGGTTCATCAAGGACTGCATACTGATGTACCCCCCCCCCCCCCTGGTGATACATTGCTTAACCAACACATACTTCACCTGGAATGGAACTTTCTACAAACTGTGGGCACCCCAATGGGCTCCCCCCTATCTCTGGTTGTAGCCAACGTATTCATGGAAAAATTTGAAACTGACGCCATCCAGGCTGCCACTCTACGCCCGACCTTTTGGAAGAGGTATGTGGATGACACCTTTGTCATCTGGCCACATGGCCAGCCTGCTCTAGACCAATTCTGCGACCACATCAATTCCATACACCCAGCCATCAGATTTACCATGGAGGTCGAAAAAGATGGCAAACTAACCTTTTTGGATGTCTTAATTAAAAGGAGACATGATGGTTCAATGAGCCACTCTGTATACAGGAAAGCTACCCATACAGATGCTTGCTTGAAACCGGATTCCCACAACCATCCATCCCAGAAGAACTCCCTCATCAAGACTCTATACCATAGAGCCCAATGTATTTCCGACCAGGAACACATTACCAGTGAACTCAAGCACGTAACACCAGGCTCTCAGGGCTAATGGTTACTCCGACTACACAATCCGCAAAGCCATCACTCCAGTCATGAAGAAGGATCCTCTTGTGGAGCCACTCAAAACCATCACCTTACCCTACATTGCTGGGGTCAATAAAAAAAATCTCCAAAATCCTGAATAAACACAAGATCCAGGTCCGATTCAACACAGTACATAAAATCCGTGATCTAGTTCCATCTGTAAAAGATGCTGTTCCAGACATACAGTACTCGGGCGTTTACAAACTAAAGTGCCTCTGTGGTAGTAGCTACATTGGAGAAACCAAACGACATCTCGGACCACATCCGCGAACATGAAGCAGACTTGAAACACGGTAGAACGAACTCCTCTGCCGTGGCAGATCACTGTTATAATTCAGTGGGCTCACATGACATTGACTTCTCCAAGACGGAGGTTCTTTGCAAACCAACCGGCTACCATGAATGATTCGTTCATGAGGCCATTCACATATACAAGCACAGAGACAATTTCAACCGAGAAGATGGATTCTGGCTTAGTAACCATTGGAAAGATGTTTTAAACCATTTCCGTTCTTAATTAATTGTATTTTACGATGACCTTCAGACCGCAGCTCTTTCGCTGGCATTGACTCTTAATACCTCTCACACCACGGTTAATGGTATGGTTTACAACATGGAGTATAACAGCGCCTCGCAGCTGTCTCTCTCTCCCCCTCCTCTATTCCGACCATGGATGAACTCGTCCGTCTGAACGGGGCCCGTAGCTATCCGTGTTGCTAAAGTTGAGGGTCAGAATCCACCCATTTTTTCGCCATATAGCATTGTGATATATAACGACTTATTGTTGGTAGCTTAGTTGATTGGAGAATATATAGAGTTTATTGATAACATTGAGGTAATTTATATTTTAGTTTTTTCTTGGTTCACTATATAGTATTCATTATATATTGTCGTGTATACCCAGTTACTGTGAATAGCTCAGATGTGTAGGCTTTGACTTCAACATAGCCATTTCTTTGACCAGTCACAAGCTAATCACTCAGTTATTTCAATGATAAATTCTCCTAGTTATTTCAATGCTAAATTCTCCTGTTTGATTTGTACTAGGTGCCTCTGTGAATGTGTATGCTCTGACTTTAACATAGCTATTTCTGTGACCAGTCACAAGCTAATCACTCAGCTATTTCAATGCTAAATTATATGCTAATTCCTTTGTCAAGGCGTGCCTCTGTGGATGTGTATGCTTTAACTTTAACATAGCCATTACTGTGACCAGTCACAAGCTAATCACTCAGCTATTTCAATACTAAATTTTATGCTAATTCCTTTGTCAAGGCGCTTTGTTTCTTCTCACACAGCTTAAAGGTCGCGATCTGAGCGTGGCTTTTTCGCTCCAGCGCTGTCCTCCAGACAGTCTCATCCCTTCACCTGATGAAGGCCGCTTGTGTTGTGGCCGACACGTCGTGAGAATTTTATTGTGTTATTTTATTTGATCAATTTATTATTTGATTCTCATTCTATGTGACTTTACCGAAAGAACCAAAGAAGATGAATCCTTGCAGTCACGAAAGCTTTAAATCGAAAAATGACTTTTATATAAATAGTTTTGTTATGATAATAAAAAAAATAATGATTCTTTCAACGTGAATTGAATAATCAATATAACACTTTAAGTTGTTCATATTGGAAACTGCTGCAACACAGTGTAATTTGTGCCTCGGGGAGGTGTCTGGGCAGCTGAAATTTCCATTCATTCATTGCCATTAGCTTCACATTTTAGCCACGTTGTTTGAGACCCATTCAGGGCAGTGAAAAAGACATCCATGGCTGTATTTGCTATATTAATCGAGTGGTTTCGGGAGTAACGACACATTTATATTTATGCGATCTAACCCAAAAAAATATTAGCTGATCTTTAATTGTTCTGCTCACATCTGACACAGATATATTATGCAGGTGATGGCGTGGAGAAGGCCGTGATGGCGTGGAGAAGGCCGTGATGGTGTGGAGGAGGCCGTGATGGCGTGGAGGAGGCCATGATGGCGTAGAGGAGGCCGTGATGGCGGGGAGGAGGCCGTGATGGTGTGGAGGAGGCCGTGATGGCGGGGAGGAGGCCGTTTCAAGTTTCAAGTTTCATTTATTAGGTATAGCCCTGTGAGCCATGCGGCAAAAAATGAACAGAGAACATCTTAAAGCGACGACGCGCAACAGAAACATCCTGGATAAACCAGCAAATCTTCCAGAAAAAAAACCCACCGTATTACAACGCTGTGTGCAAAAATCTCAGTGTGGTGCAAGTGAAACAATAACCATAGGACAATTTAGATTAACCATATGTTTTTGAAATCACCAAAATAAAGCTATTAAACAATGTAACAACAGTAATCATAGGAACTGTGATTCAAATTTAACAATAAACGATATACATAACATGTATGACCAAACTTGCAACCATAGCTGGCAGCATGACACTCCCAGTGTATGATGTGTGAGTGAGTCAGTGGTAGTGTGAGTCAGTGTATGATGTGTGAGTCAGAGTATGATGAGTGAATTTGTGTATGATGTGTGAGTGAGTGTAAGATGAGTGAGTGTATCACGGCCTCCTCCACACCATCTCACGGCCCCCTCCACGCCATCATGGCCTCCTCCACGCCATCACGGCCTTCTTCCCGCCATCAACGGCCTCCTCCCCTCAGCTCCGTCGGCTTCCTCGGCTCCGTCGGCTCCGTCGGCTCCGTCGGCTCTGTCGGCTCCCTCTGTTCGCGCCTCTCGCCCACCAGAAATGGCCCCGTCAGCCGCTGGGAGTGCACGCTGAGAGCGCGCCTCAGGCGTGGAGGAGGTCGTGATGGCGGGGAGGAGACTGTGATGGCGTTGAGGAGGCCATGATGCGGGGTGGAGGCCATGATGGCGTGGAGGAGGCCATGATGGCGGGGCGGAGGCCGTGATGGCGGGGAGGAGGCCATGATGGCGTGGAGGAGGCCGTGATGGCGTGGAGAAGGCCGTGATGGCGTGGAGGAGGCTGTGTTGGTGGGGAGGAGGCCGTGATGGTGTGGAGGATGCCGTGATACACTCACTCATCTTACACTGACTCACTCACACATTATACACTGACTCACTCACACATCATACAACGACTCACTCATCATACGCTGACTCACTCACACATCATACACTCACTCCCACTACCACTGACTCACTCACACATCATACACTGACTCACTCATCATATGCTGACTCACACATCATACACTCACTCGCACAACCACTGACCCATTCACTCATCATACAATAATTCAATCATCATACGCTGACTCACAGATCATACACTCACTCACACTACCACTGATTCACTCACACATCATACACTGGGAGTGTCATGCTGCCAGCTATGGCTGCAAGTTTGGTCGTTCATGTTATGTATATCGTTTATTGTTAAATTTGAATCACAGGTCCTATAATTACTGTTGTTACATTGTTTTATAGCTCTATTTTGGTGATTTCGAAAACATGGTAAAGCCATGTTTCTTGCAGAAGTGCGGAGTTGGCCTGATAACTTTTATCTAAATTGTCTTATGGTTGTTATTGTTTGACTTGCATCACACTGGGATTTTTGCACAGCGTTGTAATACGGTTTTCTTTTTTTCTGGAATATTTGCTGGTTTATCCAGAATGTTTCTGTTGCGCATCATCACTTTAAGATGTTCTCTGTTCATGTTTAGTTTATTGCGGTTGCACCCGACTCAAGAGCCGCATGGCTCACAGGGCTATACCTAATAAATGAAACTTGAACTTGAACGTGAAGAGCAGGAGAGCAAACCAAAACTTCCAAAGGAGTACAAAAAATGTTCGTTCTCATATACTGTTTTCTTTTAACATAAAACTACCAGCTACATCCATTTTACAGTTTTGTTTTATCAGCATGTTTTATTTTTTGCAAATTGTCTTTCTTTATTATATTATTTAAAATGTAATCTGCATGTTATAGAAATAGTTTTAATTGGAGATTGACGTATATATGTTGAACTTCTTTCACATCGTACGTAGCCAACTATAGTAATCGGATGACCTGGAAATGAAGGTCACGACGTTTTCAGGACCGTGTTCTCAAAACTAAACAGATGCTTACTGTGATACTTGGGAGATTTTTTTTAAATATTAAAGCCACAGACATTCAGTAGCACTCTGAGGAATGAGTGATTACATTCTGGATTTATTAGGCACACATGGGATTACAAGCAACACCACCTGATTACAAACATAATAAACACAAGTATAAGAATTGTGTTATTAAAGACAGATTAAAATCACCTCACCCATAGCACAGCCTAAATGTATATTACAAAAAAACCTTAAAGTTCCAGACAATGACCTGAAAAAGAACATAGTATAACCAAAATGATGGATTCTGAAGACGTTTAAGTTTGAAGATTTGTAACCACTTTTTTTCTCGTGGCCATTCCTTTAAGACACTGCTGTAGGCTAATTGTTATGCCCTTAACCCATAACGATAATAGCAATATCTTGCGATGATCAACAATATAAATTGTATTTATAAGTAAACTAATAACAGCAACCGCACCCAAAAACAACATACGCTAACAAAGATAGGTGTGCTAGAACGATAGAATTCTACGGGGCCATGAGGAGTGGGCACAGCGACAACTTGGACAGGCACGGGCGTGAATGAGGCGGTGTGGGGGGTCGGGGGGGGGGGGGTGGTGGGGGTCTTTGCAATGTAAATGATGATGGGTGATGACTATGATTAATATTTTTAATTAGCTACTGCTTTCACAATGTTAATGCGAATGATTTTATCAAGTCTTCTTTCATCTTATTTTCATCTGTATCGATCTCTTTCCATGCATTAGGAATATCTGCTGGTGAAACATGATGTCTTTCAGCAAAATTGCGATTGTATTTGCAGAATACGACCTTCCAGAAAGTCGTAGCCTCTAGGCTGGTGTCTGGCTGAATGCTCCAGGAGGCAAAGTAATCGTTGATAGTGCGGTATTCCTTGTAGGGAACCCATTGGTCATTTGTAGCTGAACTTTTATAATGCCCATTGCCAGCAACATCTGTTGTGCAAACTTCAGCTACCAACTTGTCGTTAGTAATTATACTAACGCCATTAAGGCCTTGAGGATAATGCAGCTCCGCAGAGTGTGTCTCATGTCCACCACCTCCCTGGTCACAAGGGACCCCACAGAAAGGACACTGCTTCTCACAGCCAGCCAGGCTCTTGTAGAGCTCTATGTGCGGCTGCACACTGAGACGACTCAACCACGCCTCGCACTCGGTGTCACTGGCGACACTGAACCCTTGTAACATTTCTTCTTCAGCAGAGTCCAGCGAACTCTTGAGCTCTTCCGAAAATTGTTTGACACTTTCTTTGTCTATGAAGGATAAAAACCCAACTACGTCAATGACATCTTTATTGATAATAATGTGCTTGAGTAGACACTCGCCCAAGCTGTCTGCGAATTCCAAAAGTGTGGTCGGAGTGGTTATAGTTTTGGTCACAGAGTCCACAGATTTCTTCACTTCATTAATAAGATTGCTCAAAATGGCGCTTGAGAGATGGTACATCTGAGAGTGTGACCCATTCTCTCTCTGGCAGTGCTGTATGACCTCAGCCATTATCCATTCCTTTGTAAAATCTGCATATTTGTTTATGTATCTATAGTGAGTTTCAAAGTCGTCTTCATCCAACAAATGAAGATGCATGGCCAGCTGAAGGTGTTTTCGGCTCGAAAACGTTGGGCCACCGCTATCGCTCTTCACATTCGTCGCAATATCCATCCCCAATTTGTTGTCGACAGCCTCCAGTAGAGACGGCTTCAGGCACTCGTTACAAAATGTCTTTGCATGTTTAATATTTTCATCCCCTTGACGATATAGTTCCTTAAAAATAACAAAATATTTCTTCTTAATATTATTAATCTTAGTAGTTGGATTGTTGTTGTCAAAGAAAACGTCGTGTCCTTTTTGCCAAATTACTATGGCTTTAAAACAAATGAATACAGTAATGTCCCTTGAAAAGTCTTTGGTAAATATTTGATTCTGCTGTTGTTCCAGTTCTTTATGGATGTGTTGCAGAAGATCGTTATTATAGGATGAGCAATAATCATGCATTTTTATTTTTTCATTAATAAACCTAGTGCTGCTTTCGATAATCATACGTGAAATGTTGGTCAACTCCTTCACAGTTGCATCGTTTTGCTTTGTGAATATATTGCAAATCTTTTTAAATTTAGATACGTCTTTAATGAAGTGCTCTGGGTTTAGTTGAAATATTTTGTTGCGATTTTTTTCAAAATATGTTGCAGAGCTTCCAAACTTACACAAAAGATGGCTGACAGCTGACGCATGTTCTAATTTAATGTCACGCAGTGATGTCACCATATCGCTGTAAACGTCGTGTTTTGTCAAATTAATTTTTGGAAGGTGCGTAACCACGTTTGACCACATGTCGTTAAACTCTTTGTTTAGACGTATTTCATTTAATTTCACTTCATCATCTTTGCAGCGCTGAAGGAGTTTACAGACTTCCGATCCAATTGTCTTTTTACTCTGCGTTTCAAGTTCTTCAATGGAGTGTCCAGACTGTCTCCTACAAACCAACTCCATGAATTTATTCAAGGCTTCCTCTTGTAACTTCACGCACAGTTGTTTTGCGCTGATGTTAAAGTCTTCTTTGTATTTCTCAACTAAATGCGCATTTTGGCTTTTGTTTTCAAAGTGCCTTTTTATTTTGCTCTGTAAGGTGGCTTTTCCTTTTGAAATCTCATTACTTAAATCACGTTCCAACTGTTGAAAATGGTTCTGAAGATGATCATATTTAACACTATTTATGTAATTATTTTTCTCTTGTGTCCAAGAAATAATGTCATTACGAAATTCCCATTCCCAGCCAGTATACTGAATGCACAGTTGGTTGTAAGCATCGGCAACCAAGCTGTTTTTGAAACTAAAAATAAAGTTCTCTTTCTTCACTGCTTCCCAGATGCTTCCTATCCAAGTGCTGAAATCTTTTAGTGTTGAAGCTCTCTGTGTTTTTGGTCTCTTTTTAAGATGGTCTATCAGGTGCTGCTTGAGTTGAAAAACCTGATCGCTGTATGCAGCACTGACTGAAGCCATTGGAGGGGTTCCATGCCAGAGACCAGGTATGTACCAGTTGTCCCGACTCACGTCGTGCTCCATGACGTCGGTGAATTTAGTGTAAGTGGACTCCTTGTGCTCCATTCTTGCAGCTGCCACCGTCATGACATTCAGCTGATTAATAAGACATTTCTTGTCTCTCATGTTCTTATCAGAAGCAGCGACATCGCCAGAATTCTGATGCACAAATAGGCACTTTGTTTTTTTCCCAACTTCCGTCATTCGTAGAAATGCATGGACAACGATTTGCAGAACGTCCTTCATTTCTTCTACATTCTCCATTGCCAGATTAATGAGCGTGACATCACTCAAACCAATAACAACCGTGGCCAGCTCATTGTCGTGCTCGTAGCTGTCGTGAAGTGTTGCCAGCTCAGGGGCTTTCAGCCCTTCTGTGTCAATCACCAGGATGAAGTCACACTCAAGTTCTTGTTTCAGGTGATCCTCAATGCTGATGAGCTGCATGAAAGCGCCGCGTGTGCAGCGGCCACTGCTCACTGTGAACTGCAGCCCAAACATGGTGTTGAGAAGCGTGGACTTGCCTGTGCTCTGCACCCCCAGCACGGTCAGTACGAACACGCGGGGATCTCGGCCAAGCGTAGCCCTCACTTCCTTAAGCACGTCGGTCACCCAGTCAATGGGAATACAGCCAACGTCACCATCCATTAGCTCCAAGGGAAACCCCTCCAAGAACAACTCCGCAGCAACAGCTGGGAGTGTCAGTGCCTTGCGGTAGGTAGGTTCTTTGCTATTGGGCACTGCATATTTCTGAACTTCTTTAGTTGCTTCGTAAAACTGCCCAATTTCCCGTATGAAGTGTTCCAGTCCCAATGAACTGGACGACATTAATTCTTCAATTTCTTCCAATTTCTTTGCATTAATTTTTGAATCAACATCGAGATGAACATATATTTTTTTGTAATCATCTCTTAACTTGGAAAATGTAACTCTGGATAGATTATTTAGTTTTAATTGCATCCACTGAAGAACAAACATTTTCATTTCTATTGACTCGTTCAATATTAAATCAACAAATATTTTCACGACATCTGAAAAACCCTTTGTTTTCTGTTCTTTGCGAATGTCGATTTGTTTGATTTTATTTGCAATAATATAGTCCTCAAAATTCTCACGTCCGATATTTTTCACTCGACTCTGTTCTTTATTTGTCTCTGCCCAATTGTGCCACAGATCTCCTTGTAAAGGGAGATATCGTTGTTTACTTTCTTTCACGCGAGATTTTTCTATGATATCAATTATGCTGTTGACTTTATCTTTGCTTTCTCTGCATTTACTTTTACATTCATCGATTCTAATATTTAGCTTTCCAACAACGTCAACCATGCGTTCTAATGTCTCGTGGTTTTCAGTAGATTGTAAAAAATGTGTAATATCAGAACGTAGTTTTCTAGTAAATGATGTGTCATTGTGTCGCCCTTTCTCAATAAATGTTGCCTTTATTTTCAGCTGAGACAAAGTGTCGGTGAATGCTTTTGTATTGCTGCTTCTGCTATTTTCTTTCTGGTTTGTAATTATAAACAACTGAGCCTTCGAATCGGCAAGAATAGACATTGCTTCTTCATCTACTTTTCCGTCAATGACAATGAACATGGCATTTGAGATTGCTTTTAAAAACTTAAGCTGATCTAAGTGATCCCGGGCATCACCACGGAGATTTAAAATGCTGAACGCTGTTTCGAAAACATCTATATTTGATTTCCCACAAGGACAGAACATAGCCATTTCAACTAGACCATCAGAACATTTTCGTGGGATATCACCACATTCCATGTCTCGATGAACAAATAAATCATGATTGTCATTGCTAAGAATTGAATTTAGCAATTTTGATTTTGAGATACTGCACTCTCCAACCCGAATAAATGAAATGAAAGGCATTTGTATGCTGACTAATGACTCCTCCATACTGGATGCATTTTTCTGTAGTTTCCAGTTTTTCACAATCTGCCTCATGGCCCACAACATAAATGTGACGTCACCTTTGCCCGAATCGGGCAGTAAGAGAGGCAAGGCAAACTGACACTGGGCCATCTTCTGCATAAGCACCTGCTGTAAGAAGCTGTCAGCGCAGAGAAAAACCGCAGTTATCATGTCCAGTGGATTTATTAAATCGTCATCACTTGGATCTCCATATTCAATTCTACACTTGCCATTTTCTGTGGTTCTTGCCTTGGGATTTGCCCTCATTAAATTATTTAGGAAATGTTTTGAAATTTCCTCGAGAGATTTGGGATATTCCTCACAGCCAGTTATGCTCAAAACATGGTTTATTGATATTTTTTTAGGGTAAAACTTGTCCAAAGTGAGTTTCTTCAAAACAGTCTGAAATATAACTTTTGAAGAGACATTTTTTTCAACCGTGTCTTGATTACTATGCAGCTCGCTTTCTTCCAATATGCGGCCTCCTCTACTCCGTCCGAGAACACTGAAAAATAAACACGTCACATTACAATACAGCATTGGATATCACATTCATTTGTGTTTAATAGCAAATGTGGTATTCAGATAATTCTACTAAATTGATCACAATTCTTACGACTAAAAACGTATATCATTACACATATTTAGGTCTTGTTCTCTCCTTCACAATACCCAACAGACAGGAACGTGTGTATCTTCTTTGGTTCTTTCGGTAAAGTCACGTAGAATGAGAATAAAATAATAAATTGATAAAATAAAATAACACAATAATATTCTCACGACGTTTCGGCCACAACACAAGCGGCCTACCAGACAGTCTAGTCCCTTCACCTGATGAAGGCCGCTTGTGTTGTGGCTGAAACGTCGTGAGAATATTATTGTGTTATTTTATTTTATAAATTTATTATTTTATTCTCATTCTACGTGACTTTACCGAAAGAACCAAAGAAGATGAATCCTTGCAGTCACGAAAGCTTTAAATAGGAACGTGTGTAGTTTAAACTTTAGAGACACACGCCATTGTTTTGTTTCAGGTGTTGTTTGATCATTTGAACTTCGAAATGGAATACAAATGATTAGGCCATCATGTAATTCGGCTTTGTGTATGTCCAAGGGTTGGGTTGAATGTGATTTTAAAACATTTAATGTCTGATCATAGACGAGATGCTGAGAGCATATTGGTGATAGTGTTAAGCAGAGTTTTGTCATCACTGCCTACAAGTTAAATTTCGATTTAAAGCTTTCGTGGCTGCAGGGATTCATCTTCTTGGTTCTTTCGGTAAAGTCACGTAGAATGGAAATACAATGATAAAACTAAAACAAAATTCTCACGACGTTTCGGCCACAACACAAGTAGCCTTATTCATATTCTTAGCTCTTTTGGTAAAGTCACGTTGAAGGGAAACAATAAAATAATAAAATATATGTTTCCCTTCAACGTGACTTTACCGAAAGAGCTAAGAATATGAATTACTGCAGTCACGAAAGCTTTAAATCACAAGTAGCCTTCTTCAGGTGAAGGAACAGAACTGTCAGGACGACAGCGCTTCAATGGACGCTGCTAAGCTTCGCAGCGTCTTTTAAGTTAGGTGGGAGGAGCAGAGCGCCTTGACAAAGGAGTTTACATATCAACAGGAGAATTTAGCATTGAAATAGCTGTGTTAAAGTGTTGGATCAACAGGGTGTTAAAGTCATAAATTAGCATGCAACTGGGAGATTAGCATGATGTTAATGTGGGGGATTAGCATGTAACTGGTCATGGAAATATATATGTTCAAGTCAGAGTTTACATATCAACAGAGGCATTTAGTATACTGACGCTAAAGGACTGCAACTACCCAACTATCATAGAATAAACCGATGTGACAAAACGAAGTATAAACTACATCAATATATATACTTAGTTCTTTCGGTAAAGTCACGTTGAAGGGAAACAATAAAATAATAAAATATATATAAAATAATAAACATTCTCACGACGTTTCGACCATAACACAAACGGTCGTCTTCAGGTGTGTCGGTTTGCATAGATTTATTTATTTTTAAACGGTGTATTTATTTATTCATAAAAAAAAACGTTAGCGCCACGCGCAGCGATTTGGCAGTTTATTTAGAAGGACTAGTCCAGCTATGTTCTGAAAAGAGGAGGGGGGAGACGAATTTTTTTTTTAATGTATGCTGTCTGAAAGCCACTGTAAGCGTGAACAATCAATCAAGAACTGACATGGTTTATCAAATCTTTCCAATGATTGCTAAGCCAGAATCCATCTTCTCGGTTGAAATTGTCTCTGTGCTTGTATATGTGGATAGCCTCATGAACGAATCTCTCATGGTAGCCAGATGGCTTACAAATAACTTCTGTCTTGGAAAAGTCAATGTCATGTGAGCCTACTTAATTATAACAATGATCTGCCACGGCTGAGGTGTTGGTCCTACCGTGTTTAAGGTCTGCTTTGTGTTCACGAATGCGGTCCGAGACATAGCTGGACTAGTCCTTCTAAATAAACTGCCAAATCTCTGCGCGCGGCGCTAACGTTTTTTAAATAAATAAATAAAGCGATAGATACGCCGTTTAAAAATAAATAAATTTATGCAAACCGACACACCTGAAGACGACCGTTTGTGTTATGGTCGAAACGTCGTGAGAATTTTTTATTGTTTTATATATATATTATTATTTTATTGTTTCCCTTCAACGTGACTTTACCGAAAGAACTAAGAATATGAATTACTGCAGTCACGAAAGCTTTAAATCAAAATTTTACATCAATATAATAAATGTAGTCAATATATTATTCAATAAGTTGAGATATTAACATAAAGTAACTGGGTATACACTACCCTACATAATGAATACCATATAGTAAACTGATAAAAAAATTAAATATAAACTACATCAATGTTATCAATAAACTCAATATACTCTCCAATCAGCTGAGCTACTAACAATAAGTCGTTATACATTACAATTCTACGTCGAAAAAAAAAGGGTGGCGGTTTTTTCTTTTCAACGTTAGCACCACGGAAAGCGACGAGCTTTGTTCAGACGTACGAGTCCATCTATGCTCAGTACAGAGGAGGGAGCAGAAACAGCCACGATGCGCTGCTCTGTCCTGTGTTGCGTTACAACTATGTTATAAACTAGACTACTATACATTACAATGTTATACCTTCCAATCTAAACTACATTGTATATTATCCTATACACTGCGATAAAGCTAGTTTAGATTAAATTTTATAAACATATCCATACTCCCAGTCTGTTACCCCACTTTACCACACGTTTTTTAGCCTGCACATTTCAGTTTGAACTCTATGCGTTACTAATTTACCTGGCAGCATAACAAAAGGCGACTTAGCTACTTCCACCATCTACATTACAAAGCCTCAGTTTGAACTCCAATCGTTGCTTGGAGTACACAACGCTACCTCCCAGCCCACACCCCGCCCCCACACTCACCATGCCCCCTCCCCCCATCCCCCTGCGACACTTAAGCGGTGTGCTTTCGCTTAAGTGTGTCTCAGGAAGAAGGATGCTTGTGTTCCGCCCGAAGCGTCGTAATTTAATTTATTTCATTTTTTTACCTACGTGACTTTACCGAAAAAAACAAAGAGTATAAATGCTGCTCAATCTTGGAAAATTGGAGTTCTGCTGGTTTGCACTCCTAGACTTGCTTGGATTTGAAGTCTCAATTAAAATTTGGGTGCATTTTTTGCCCAAATGGTTTTGTCTCATTGCCACAAGATATTTTCAGTAGCAATCAATTACATATGATGCCAATTGATCAGATTCAGTTCAACCATTCGCATCTAAGGTGGATTTGGAGAAACATTGATTACATAGACCAGTTGAGTGTCAAATTCATGATCTCAAATAATCCACGGAAAAAGGAATTACCTGTGAATCCCTACAGGTATGTTTTTAATTATTGTCGCAATTAATATCAATGCTTGTTAATTAAGAGTACCTTACAAAATCAAGTGTGCATGTGATGTAGACATGAAATGATTTTGATTTACCTTTGCGAATTTGTACTTTCTGCATACGAAGATATTGGTTTAATGCTGCCTTGTTTTTCACTTTGCTCGTCTGTCCCGGCACCATCATTAACGTCTTGACTTGTAGGAACACTTGATGATAATCTGGAAAATAAAACATCGCAAAAGTTGTGTAAATATGGCTCTTCTTCCCACAGTATTAATCCTATTGCAATATCTGATCTGTAGGTCATATGCCGAATTAAGGTCCATGCCAAGAATAATTGTTTATTTCCCACACTTACACTTCGAAGATGTATTTAGATAATCATCTGGCAGATCTTTTATTAAATGTTCTGTAGAAGAAACCGTACCGTTTGCTGTTATGCTACAAGTAAAGTTTCCTGGTTGTCGATCAATGTTAATGTACGTACGTAAGATTACTTATTTTGCATCGTATGTAGCCAACCGTGCTAATTGGAGGTGCGCTAGCTCGATCTAGGTACATGAGAAAATCGGAGGTTAATCATGTATCGAATAATGTTTCTTGTCCATTCCTGCATTAACATTCTCAGGTAATGTACATATATACAGCAAAGCGCTATTGTCTGGCACTTTACCATCTGCAATGCCCAATTAACCAGCTATTGTCATAGACGGCAATATAAATCTTCCTTCACATATCCAGAAATATTACGACAGCCATCTGTCATCTTGCAGTGCGCCTTTTATAGATCCTTTTTTTCTTTTTTTATGGAAGCTTCAGAATTCTGTGGAGTGGTGGTGATATTGGTAGTCTATACAAATGGTATTGTACTACTGTAAACGGCTCGACTGCTTCTCTACACTCAACTAAGTATGTTCTTCTTTTGAATTGCAATTAACTTCATTAATCACTTTTCTCATTATCTACCATCCATCACGACCCCATAGTTCCTTCTTTGACCACTTCAACTTCCTCTTCTCCTCTATCCCCCCACCTTGGTGATTGAAATCCTCCACCTTGCTAAAGTGGAGGACTTCAACCTCCACCTTCGTAGACACATTGCCTCTGCCCTACTCTCCCTAGTCAACTCGTTTGGTCTCCACCTGCTTTCATCCCCCCATACTTATACATCTGGCAGTATCCTGAACTGTATCTTACTTTCAGACAATGCATCACCTGTCTCTACTGATAGCCATTTTCTATACTTTTTAGGCATAAGCAATTGCGACATAACACTTATTACCCCGGAAGAAAAATTGTGTTACATTGTGTAATCACATACATATAGATATATCCATTATGGTGTTAGTAGGTTTTTGTTATTCACTATTGGCAGTATTTTAAGTGCAATTTGTTTTTCTGTTATGATTTGGTCGGATTCGGAGTCTTACCTGATATTTGGATGCGATTTACCCCTCATGGTTTTATCTGATTGCTACTTTTTGCATACATATGTAATAATTAAAATCTGATGCCAATTTATCAAAATCAGTTGAATCCACCACATCTAGGTAAGATTTGTAGAAACATTGATGAGATAATATCATCCTTACAGGAATTATTTAAATAATGTTCGCTATTAATATAAATGGTTATTTATTAAAGTGCCTTATCAAGTAAATTGTGGATGTGATGTAGAGGCTGCATTCTTTGGATTTACCTTGGAAAATGTGTAGATTTTACAACAGTAGATGCTTGCGTAATGCAGCCTTGTTCTTCACCTAGTCCGTCTCTCTGGGCATCGACAAATTCTTGATTTGTCTGATTACTTGAAGATTTTCTGAAATATAATTAGAGAATAAAACATTACACAGTCACGTAAATATGGCTCCTCTTCACACATTATTCATCTTATTGAATTGTCTTCTCTATTGATCATATACCGAAATAAGATATGTGTGATGACATTTTGAATCGTTCCAACACTTACACTCTCCAGACTTATTTACATAATAACCTAGCTGACCTTGTATTAAATGTTTCACACAAAAAACCCTGTGATTTTCTGTTATGGTACTTCCAAGGTTACCGAGTTGTCAACCAATGTCAGCAATATACAGATTAAGATTTCTTGTCCCTTATCTGCATTCACATTTCCCATGTAATGTATAAATATGTAGATTAAATGCAAGGATGTTATGTATTTTGGAACTAGAAGGCACTCACAGTTCTGTTGGGCAAATTGCAGAAAATCATTGAAAATTATTTCCTATTTATTATTTACTAGCGGGAAGTACCCGGCGTTGCCAGGGGGAAAAATATACTTCCAAACTTGTCTTGAATTAAAAACATAACATATACGTACATAAATACAAAGCTATTGTGAAAGCCCGTTTGTCTGTCCATTTGTCTGTCAACAAAATGAGAAGAGGCTTGCAGAAGTCCTGAATCAAAAAATAATAGAAAGTGGGGGGTAAATATCTTATCAAAAAGGTTTCCAAAAATTGTCGACCACCCCCCTCAAAAAATGTTTTTACCCCCCATAGGCATATATCCCTACACACCCTAAATACAATAGAGTGAGTAGTATCTAGTGACTCTATAGTAGTGTCTGGCGCTACATAAGTATCTGGCTCTACAATAGTAGCTACTGATTCTATAGTAGTATCTATTGACTATATAGTATCTATTGACTTTATAGTAGTATCGTCTGACTCTGTAGTTGTATCTACTAACTGTACAGTAGTAACTACTGAGTACAGTAGTATCTACCGACTCTATAGGAGTAGTATCTTCTGACTCTACAGTAGTATCTACTGAATCTATAGTAGTATCTATTTATTCTATAGTAGTCTTTACTGACTATAGCAGTAACTACTAACTCTATAGTACTATCTGCAGACCCTATTGCAATATCTGCTGACTCTATAGCAGTATCTACCGAATCTATGTTAGTACCTACCTACTCTATAGTCGTATATACCGACTCTATAATAGTATCTATCGACTCGATAGCAGTAACCACTAACTTAACAGAGTGCCGTGGTGAGGCCCAGTACCATGCAGATCCCCCGGCCTCACCTTGATTGCCCAGCCGGCCGAGGTGGCACCTTGGCAGGCTGGGGTTGGGCTGCTAACCCCCCCCCCCCCCCCCGCTCGCTCTACAGTAGTTGTATCTACGGACTATAGTAGTAGAAGTATCTACCGATTCTATAGTAGTAACTGCACACATTGGGGGGGGGGGGGGGGGGGGGGTGAGAAGAGGACATCACACTTTTAAGAATTTACCTCAGCGTTGTTTTTTTATTGCATTTTGAACGCGAATGAGAATTTATTTCCCCCCACCGAGTCAGCTTTCTCGCGCATGTGCAGATGCGTGATTTGGCGCCACCCTCTGCTTATAAAATAAATACATTCTTAATTTAACTACTTTAAAGTTGACGGATGGGAAATACGAATAGCGCTGTCTCATCCCGGGGCTTATCGCGTGGTATCTGGGTACCCTTTGATACGTAAACCCCACAGTTTGTCAGGTAAAAGCGTCACAAGGTGTGTCCACACACACAGACAGACAAAAATTACTCTTATAGGTAAGACTCGCCGGAAGTACCCAGCGTTGCCCGGGGGAAAAATATACTTCAAAACTTCTCTTAAAAACATAACATACAGTATACCTAGGTAGTGAGTTCAACTGAGTCGCAGACGTACTCTTTGGAGGCAGCACATTTATTAACACCAACACACGGGGTAACTGCCCTTTAACAAAATAACAACCTATGGTGGTGACCACCAGGCTAACTACACTAATTACAACGTAACTAGCTACAATGGACCAGACCCCAGCTTGGGTCCCGGTCCACGCGTTGGAGACTCTATAGGATGTAGAACGTAGACAAAGGTTTCTTCAGGATGAACAACAACGCCCGTCCCTCTGGGCGACCCGGCTTAGATCCTCTGTGGCGTGGCTGGCTCCGCCCTTGGCCACGACCACCTTCCAGAATCCTCGAGCAGGATCTCGACCCTGACACGTGACCACCCCTAGCCCCCACTTGGGGCCCCTGTGTAGACTTAACAGATCACGTGTCCTCTGGGGTCAACGAGAGTGCCACGGCCCTTAGTAACCCCATTCCCGTGGCCGGCACTCTCGCTCCCTATCCTGTAGGGGCCGGCACTGCACGCAGAGCGTGGTGCCATCCAGCGCTGTCAGTCAGCGCTCACCAGGCCCCACTAGGACCGGTACTTCACCCAAATGTAAGTGGTGTCCGCGATGACAATACATCGCACGCCGTGCCTCTCTAGGGCCGGCACAAATCAGTGACATCCCGCGATGTCACTACCTCACCCCTCCCCCTTCGTTGCACTCAGCCGTTCCGGCTGTCACCTCCCCCTTTAACATTGAACAAAGTGAACAAGTGAGCAAAACCCCTATGTGTGCCTCAACAAATAAATACTCCAACCCACCTATACAATACATACACTATCTACAAATGTACAGTAACGGATGGGGAAAGGGGGTGGAAGTACAGAAAACAAAGGGGAGATAGAGAGAGAGAAAAATAAAATGCAGAAAAACGCGAATGCTTGGGACCCCTCCATCACCAACATCTCCCACCCTCACTATGTAAAAACACCCGTAAGCACAATAAAGGCTAGGATCAGCTTATAACCGATACGGCCTGCCGAGTGCGACAACCAACTGACGGTGTGGGAGCATGTGTGTATGGGGATAACGAAAACCAAAGATTATTTGATCAAGTCCTTGTGGCCGGGCCCCCAGGGGAGATGGGCTCACTCTCCCTGCAGGTCCCGGGGGGAATTTGCAAATGTCCCGTCGAACCCGGCTCCTCAAAAAAAGCAGTCGGCTGGGTGGACGGGCTCTCCTCTCCCAAATCCAGTGGAGACAGTGCAGGTGGCGGCTTGCGGGGCGTTAGACGCACGGCACCTGAGGACGGGATCACATGACTCTACTAAGGATCGACCTCAGCGGGTACACACCTCAGCTCACCAGACACATCTGACACTCGGCCCCTGCGTAGTGGAGATGGAATGAATCCATGCAGTGCAATGAAATGCTTGAGGCGCGATGGATGTACAAACTAACTCCGCTGAGCCAAACGAATATGAACACACTGGGGCCGAAGGACCCGAATCACATCAACAGGCCCCCTCCAGGGTTTAAACAATTTGGGTAATGTACCCACTGGCACCTGTAGACAGTGCAGCCAGGCTTTGTCACCTGGAACCCACTCATGTGCGAAAGGACGGGAAGCCCTCAGCTGCTCATTTGCCAATTGGCACGAATTGGAATTGTCTCTTGACGCCTCCCGCGCTTCTGAAAGCTTTTGGAGGGTAAAGCGCATGGAGTCATACTTTTTTTTATTTAGCCTTGTTTGGCACGGCTCGTAATTGGACATCAATCAGGGAGTTGTGTTCTCTTCCGACCAATACAAAAAAGGTAAGTAGCTGGTGGATGAGTGAGTGGCCATTATATAGGCAGCCAGGACTCTGGGAATATGCAAGTCCCAGTCAAGTTGGGACTAGCTGACCTGATGGCTCAACATGGAGGTGAGAGTCCTGTGCAGCCGTTCTACCATTCCATCCGTCTGTGGGTGGGATGGTGATGTGCATACTTTCTTTGTTCCCAACAAATCAGACACCTCACGCAGTGATTTCGTAGAAAAATTTTTGCCATGATAGGTCAGAAAATGTTAGGGGGCACCCTTATCCATCACGCAACCATTAAGGAATGCTTCCGTGATCGCTGCCGCTACCTGGTGGGGGAGTGGCCAGGCCATCGGCCATCATGAAAAATACTCGACTCCCACTAGCAAATACTTATTCCCACGAGGGGTAGTAGGAAATGGACCAAGGATATCCAGAGCAACCAGCTCATTTAAGCAGGATACCTGAATGGATTGCAATGGTGGACAACATGGTTTAGACGGTGGTTTCCGCCGCGCATACTGCACGCACCCGTTCAACAAATTTGCAACATCGGCCGCCATGCCAGTCCAGAAGAAGTCCAGCTTAAGAGTAGCCAGTCACTCGTGCAATGCCCAAATGACTTTACCTCTCAGGGCAGTGGGCACGACAATGTTGTAACGGCGCAACCCTCCGCCCTAATGCATAAGTAATCCGCCTCTGAGAATGACAGAGGCAACAACCCCATCTATCCCCACCCCCATCAGCCTCCTTGACATGGCGTAGCAATTTAAGCAGGGAAGAGTCCTCAACCTGGAGGCACCCCCATTCTGCATGGTCCAAATCAACGACGGTGTCACGAGCCACAGGACCCTCGGCTACCTCAGATGTTCCAACCTCGGCCGCCAAGCCCGAAAAACACACGCACCCATTGCTCGTTGGTAATCGCGACAGGGCGTCTGAGTTCGTGTGTAGCGTGCCTTTGCATTAAGAAACAGTAAAAGATTAGTCCTGGAGGACTTCCAACCAAAGTGAAAGTTAGTCAGATGGCTGTACAATACGCAGTTCTTACTATAGTGCTGCATGGTCAGAGCACACCTCAAAGCTTCTACCATACAAATAGGGGCGATACTGTTGCACAAAAAAAATAATGGCTAAAAGTTCCCGGCGTGTGACACAGTACCGTTGTTAGGACGGAGACAGCATTCTGCTTCCATATGCAACAACACTTTTGACTCCATTGACAACTCAAGAGAGAACAGCTCCAATTCCGGTGTTGCTCGCAGCAGAATCAAGGACGAATGGCAAGGAAAAGTCGGGGTAGCGGTGGGGAGGGGCGTTCACCAAGCCATCCAGGAGTGCAACAAATGCGACCTCCTCCACCTCCCCCTAATGGAATTTCTGACCTTTTGCTGTCAA